TAAATTTACTTGCAAACGTATTAAATAATGGTGCTATAAACAATTAAGTGAAAAGCTCAGTTGTAAGCGAGGGAACACTTAGGAGTTTTATTTCATTTGCAAAAAAGAAAAAATCTGCGTGATACATTACTTAGTGAAGCATAAAGAATAGCTTTAATGCAACCTCTATTTTGCTTTTATATTGTGTAAGCTAAACTAAAACTAGATTGAAAGTTACGTTCTTAGAACTACTTGTGTAAGATTAATCGAAAAAAAAAAATGTTGTAGGAGTTATGCAGAAAACAGTGATCGGTTATTTTTACCGCACTACGGTGAAGCTTAAAGGAAGGTTATGTGTTTGACATGTATGTTTTTATGTATGTATGTCTACCCTATGTTCCCTCGTAATTACTATACAGCTTAACGGATTTTGATGACTCATACTTGATGACATAGGGTATACATGTAGATATAATTTAAAATCAAAATGGTGGATCGAATGCGCCATTTTGTGTGTCTAGAAATATTTTTTTTCGTCCAAATCAATCGAATGGGGTAAAACTAAAAATGTCTAACTGACCAAAACTAAAAAGATGTAATTAAAAAAAATCATTTACAAAAAAACGTGTGTTTGTACTTATGTACGTACGTGAGAAGTTTTACTTCTTTAGCGTAACAGAACAAAAATAGCTAAAGATTTCATCCCGCATGTCACAACTCTTTGTTTGCAAAAGGAATGCAGCTAACTTCATCATGTCGCTTTTTGGCTGTCCGCGTTTGAGCGCATCGTAAAAATTTTACTCTCATATTTTTTCCAAACGTACCAAAAGAAGTATAACTTCGAAAACCTTCTGCGTAAAAAGATAAAAAGGTGAAAATAAGTTGACGAAGGAACATAGTATTATGCAGTCGGAGACATACGCACACTAGCAAGGCTCGCAGTTATTATAAACATGCCGTTTCTTATAAATAAACATAAATATTGTTCTGTACATAATAATTGCATTTCACGTTAGATTTTCTGCTTAAAAATAATATAAATAAATATAAAATTAAAGTAATATTATATAAAAAATATATTTGAATAAAATAATTGGATAAGCAATAAATAATACACCAATGTTTTCACAATGTTTATGTACGCTTCGGCCGCTCACTGACCGCGGTGGTCTGATGATATTTTACATTTTTGAAAATATAATTATTATTTACAGTATTACAAAGTATTTATTTTTCAAGCTAATAAAGTTCAAGAATGGAGGCCGTGTTTAGGCAAACGTAGTGTAAGGACGCCATTTAGTATAACGAACCGATGACTTAGAAAATCATAATTTGATAATAATTCCTCCACGACCGCGGACACGTCGGCGTGTCAGTTAGCAATAGATTTCGTAGAATTTTAATTAATTTCTTAGAAATTTACCTCGAGGTGTTAATGATATTGATGGGTCTATGGGCCTCCCAGAACCGGGGTGTATAAGTTGTTGCGGGATGATTTCATTTAGCAGTGGCCGATGATAAGAATTAATGATATCGTACCGTAACTAAATAATCACGGTATTTTACTATTTGTTAGAAGCGCTAAATATTAATTTATTTCATTAGATTTTCACATGAGTACAAGCGTAGTGAATTAATAAGCATTTTACAAAACGGTCCTCATTGCGGTGGGAACGCTTTGTCGTTGATCCGGTAAAATGCTTGTGCATTACACGCACAAATGCTCTAGGACGCAACCGAACGAACTATTGAATATTTCTTATATAATGCTTTTCGATTAAGAGATATTTAGAATCTGCTTATAAGGTTGTTTGAAAAAGTTGAAAGGAGAAATTTACCCATCAAACTCGGTGCGAGTGTATGAGTATACGTTTCTCCTTATATCCCGAATCTCAACTATAGTAATGATAAACTCCAATCACTATCGTTTCCAGACGCGTACTCGGTGCCTTATTCGCAATGGATGATGCACATGATATCTTCGGTGGGTCCATCTACGTAGTACGATGCGTATTGGGAGCTTAGGCTTTAAACAAAGTGCTATTCATATGCAGGTCGCGTACAATATGTTCGATTGGTTCCTAATGGGAATCAGAGGAAAAACGGACAACGACTTGCTTTTTTTTATTAGACACTTAGAAATTGTCCCGGATAAAGTATTGAAGATAAATGTAGCGGAAGAAATAAAAATTGTATAAAGTCAGTGTAATTGATAGAATTCGCAGGTTAGAAGGACACTGTAAGTATAAAATTGAAGAAAAACGCGTTCAAATGGTTTATACGCATGCAAAAACTGGTTGATAAAGAATTGGTTAAAAATATATACAGTGGGAGGAGGAAAGTTTTATAGTATAGGTGTCCGCGAAAGACTTTTAAAGACTTATTAGACTCAAAGAAACCCCTGCACAATCATATGGATATGTAAAACTTTCTTATGTAAAACTTTAAAATGCACCAAGACAATTCAAGTATTTTTGTATGTATGTCGGCAGAACATATTGCTTTTACAAAAGGTGATGGCTACACTTGTAAGATTTTCAAAACATATCTACGAGTATGTAAATTATGATATTCTTGTCATTATAAGGTACGAGAGACTACGCATAATAAATAGCTCTGTTAATTAATACTTTCCAATGCCATGAGTGAGACATTAAAAGATCCTCGCGGGAAAGTCTGCCGTAATATAAATTAATTACTGGAATGAATGCATAAATTGTTTTAGACCGAGTTCCATACAAACGATGTCTGGTAAATGAATTTCTTCATTAACTAGGTTTGTCTTTTACAATCGTTGAACGCTGGTCCGTGCCAACTCGTGTGTTTGAATTTCCCTGTAGTATGGTAATTATTGTTCAGCGTCTCTTATTTACTAAAGAGAACCTTATGATGTTGTTGTTATTGTAAATAAAAGCTTGTAGTACTTATATTCATATTATAGCTTTTTTAAAGATACCGGTTTATTTTTAAAAGTGTACTTTAATATAATAATATAGGTAGATAATTTTAATATGTATATATACGCATTTCGCTTTATGTAAATATAGGTCTACTGTGTGTCTAGTAGGAAAAATATTTTTGTACTATTTTTTATCATAATTGAATATGTATGAAGAATTTAATACGGAATTAGCATTTTAATACACACACCTGACGGTTAAAAATATTCTCAAACAGTTACCCCTAAGTTTATCATATAGCTTCCAGAATCATTAGTAAGTATTAGGTACTTTTCTAAGATCTCCTAATTGTATATTTTCTTTTAATTCTAAACTTAATTTTTGACCAAGCGAGCGAAGCGAACGTCGCGGTCTCTGCTTCAAGTCAGACAAAATTTGCTTTCTTCTGTGAGTTTTTTGGTATTCCTGTACAGGTCGTATTTTACAACCGATCTGGACTAAACTTTTTATACAGGTTTTACGACTTCATAGATTTTTTGTCGTCTTTGAAAAAGGGGCAATCTTCGCCTTATGAGATATGATTTCGATGGTTCTTTTGAAAAAATGATGAGAGTGAATTTTTACGATGCGACAGAATAAAACTACACTATAAAGTTAGTCGTTATTAGACTACAGTGTGAAGTTAGTCGTTAAATCTACCTTTAGTATAGTGTTATTCATAAATGCATTTCTCAATATTAAAAAAAAGTACGAAACGAAAACGAAAAAAATATGCTTTATTATTTACTAAGAGCATCCCATGTGATGTCATCACAAGAACCAGGCCATTGCATAAGTGTTAAGGAGGTCGTATGCACACTTACACGGGGCCCTACGTATATATTATATAATTAACACTCGTAACAAAAGTACCAGGAGATAATAAGTGTTGAGGAGTGTATGGTGTAAGGTGCACACTTTTCAGGCTTCACTTTCAGCAGAGTGGACTGTGGAGCAACCCCATGGTTGTGGTGGTCTGCTTTGGCAGACCTGCCGTCGGGGCGTCGTAGTTGAATGCGTAAGCGATCCTGCGACGCCCCATTAAGACGGGGGAAGGTTTTGTTGGGTTTTAGTGGGTAGTACTGGCTGTATTACGCCGGTGAGTCCCACACGTCGTGCGTAAATGCGTTTCCCAACGTTAAAAAAAAGAAAAAAAAAGAAAAAAAAAAGGCTTCACTTTCTAGGCTTTTCTTCGATGAGCTTCAATGTACGTTGCTGGATGTCTATGCTACCCTGGTACTCAGAGACAAAGTGTATGACATTAATGTATGAGCCAAGGGCGGACAGCGAAAGGAACTTCGTACCTACCGGGTATCCCACAACACTGACCGATTTTTTTTGTATCATTGAGGTTACCTCAGTATGTATTGTTTTTTTACTTTTTATTACTTAAATTAATCAAACATACAAATTATTAACAACACGTAGAAATTATTAACCAATATATTATTTGAACATCTTGGTCTCTCTCGAAAGAATATGGAAGTATTGAATAAACTTTGACCTATTTCTTGTACGATTTCCAAAATGATTTATTTATTATTTAATAAATCTATTTCTAGACGAATGTCATTAATCCTTTTTTTTTTTAAACGCTTACTTTATAAAGCAAGTATTTTGAATATGTTTGACTTTAAAAGGTTCTAAGCCTTTTTAATTAACTTTTTAATTAACATTTTCGATGATTCCCAAAATGAATATAACAGTGACTTCACATAAACATTAAAATATTGACAAGTTTTTTTATTTAACAGTTAATTTAGCTTCTGGTGCGTTATTCACTTGAAAGAACATTAAAAACAACTTTATAAGAAAGAGCCAAGTGGACTTGACGTGGTGCACGAATATATGCTGCAACTTTATGAATTTTATCAAATTATTCAAAATAATTATTTTAATATAAACTTAGACATTTTACCAAATTGTTTTTATGGAGGTAACTTTTTCATTTTTATTGATTGATGAATTGACTTTCAAAAATTTTCAACATTTAAAACTGACGAAAAGTAAAGTAATTTTAAGTAATTATTACACCAACATTATTACAACTAGGATGTAAGAAAAATATGTAGATGTTAAACAATGCAACCGAATGAAAATGTTGCTTTAGCGAGCGACCTCGCCGCTATTAGCGGCAGCTTAGCGCGGGGCGGCGAGCGGTAAGAACAAATGTACTAAAATATTGAATCACGCCACGAGTCATTTTATGTATTATCCTTGTGTGTGTAATAAATTATTTATAAATAAAATTTAAAAATGTAATAAAAATGTCGTGGGAAGAAATAAAACAAAGTTTTCCAGAAAATGCACTTATCTTCGTGTACTCCTTCCCTCGAATTCAAAATATCTTGCTTAATATATGAATTGCTTTCGAGGCAAAGCAGAGCCACGTTGGATAATGCCATTACTGAATTCGTCCAGCTCAATCACTAAGTGTACGTGGCATGGACACCGCTCCGCTCGCAGAACCTGGTGCCGCATGCCGCTAAGGCCAGAAGTCGTGGCCGATCCGTTACTGTCTGCTGTACTTATTTCGAATGTAACTCGGCTATTTATCAATTTCGTTACTCAATTTGGTAGAACATATATTGTATTCTTTTAAATATTTACAATACACATTTAATAAACTAACAGAGTATGGTAAATTTAGAAAAAAGAGAAAAAGTAGCCGATTTGAATATTTATATTACTTTTAAAAGTGAATATGACTTATGATTGAATGTAAATGATGATGATGATGATGTTCTCCTAGCCGATTCCGGCTACGGCGGCCAATCTCATTGAGATTAGCCAACTGCGCAGGAGATATTATAGTGCTCAAGTGTACGCGCAGACACAAGTGCACTATCTATTCCTATCACTCTCATACTCCAGTGGGACGACTGCTCGACACGACCGGTGAGAGTTAAGGCGCAGGACCGACGGCTTTACGTGCTGTCCGAGGCACGGGGGTGAAGCACCGCCAACATCCCAACTCCGGGCTGTTACTGAGACTTACTATACAGAAAGACTCAATAATTAAACTTGGCCCGACCCGGGACTCGAACCCAGGACCTCCGGGTGTGCAGCCGTACATGCTAGCCACTACACCACCGAGGCAATATATAGTTTATTTAATGTGAATATTTACACATGCTTCAAGTGGATACATACATAATATGTAACTTATATACCCTATGGTACTCACGTTATCAAGTCAAATCTAACGACATCAAAATCGGATAAGCCGTTTAGTAATTATGTGGGAACATAGGGTTGGATATACATACATACATAGATACATTCAAGCCAAACACATACAATGACTGTTACGTATTGTGAACAAAATATAGATCCCAAAACAAGTTTTTGACTGTTCGCTTTTCACGCACAAAAATATTAAATGGATTTTAACTCGATTCTTTGTAGTGATAGCTGCTTATTACTCGGGTCAACATTTAGGGTATATTTTACTACAAAAAATCTTTCATTCCCATAGGCAAATACAATAATTAGTTCGGCTGAGATTTCTTTCATATGTACAAAAACTTCAATAATTTATTGCACAAAAACTATTAGTAGCAGCGATAAATATTAACTTATTAAACATTTTAGTACTATGAAGTCTCTCCATTTTCATGGGAAAATGCTTTTAGTTCGAGCGCAAGTCGGTTATCTACGTTTATCAAAACTGAATCATAGTATAAAACAGAATGGCTATCTGCCTCTGTCTGAATCTCATAACAACAACAATCAAACATAATTTTTAAATATTTTGCTCAAAATGACTGAACTATGATAGTGTTTTGTGAGAAAAACCTGTTTTCGTACGTTTCCAGAGCAAGCGCTCGCTAAACCTTAAACGTAATAGAAAATTGTTGGTATTAATAAGACGCGATAACATTTGACTTTCTTCTAAGGTATCTACACCCACAACAACTATTTTATCCCGAGCGAAGCGAGGGTAAACCACTAGTAAGACATATTATGTATAATTGGTAAGGACCGAACATTTTAACCGATCTTTAACGTTTAATGAAATGCATAGCTTAATATATCGATAGTGATGAATAGTAGGTAAATTTAGTATTTAATGCTTACGAAATGCTATTAAGATTATATAATATATTATGTTTGTACATAGTTTATATAATATATTTAATATATTCGTAGGTGCAATAATGTAAGAAATGTTATCAAAAAAATTTATTGTTTTGTCAAAATCCTACGCTAATACATAATAATCAGATAACAATCGTTAGCTGTCAAGGTGTGAAAAATTTAAAGTTGTACGAAATAAAAAAATCTTGGCCTATTTCAAATGCAAATGTACTTCGCTGTAACGGGTCTGCTTTCGTAAAAAATAAGACGTAGGTTGGCGAGATTGTCGCTTCTTGCATTCGTTGACTTGGAAAATATCTAAGAAGTCACTTTCAAACTCTCCGTTGGATTTACAACAACGACTTCATATTTGTCTCGTTGAAAGAAATAGTTAAACAATGTTGTATAAATTCAATTCAGAATAGATATTGCAATATTAACATTATAAATTAAATTACTTCTTTTCTTGTATTGAAAAATATATCGTTATCTTTGCACTAAATAGATAACCAGACAGTAGCAACTTTTTTCCGTTTTGTCTTATTTGGGAAAAGGTCATGTCAATGAGAAGTTTTTTAGTAACTACCAGTCCCACATCCATTTTGAATTGGAGCCAAAATGTTACGGCCAACAATGTGCTTTGTAATTTTACTATCCAAAATGAGTGAACATTTTATTTTTATATAATATGTAGATTTGCGTAATTGTAATAATACAATCATATGCTTCAAATGAGTTTGTAACTATTCTGAACACAAATCAGCAAAATGAATAAAAGCCTGACTGCTTTTGACAGCGATTGATTGGAAAAGTTTTGTGTTATATGGTAAACAAAGCAAATATCTGAATTTTAATCGATTTTATAATGGGACGTAGTAAGTTTCTTAACGAATTTGATTTGTTAAACTAAATTATCTTACATATCAATATACACCAATAATATTTTGATGACACATCAACTGCAGCGCCACCTACCAGGTAAATTTGTAAATTCAAACCTTGCAAGAACCTACTTGAACATACACAAAAAAATATTAAAATCGTCCCAGCCGTTTAGGAGAAGATAAGTGACATAACGACAGCAGCGTCACCAACCGAGGAACATTGTATTTTCAAACTATCTTAGAACCTATACAAATATACAGACAAAATTTCATCCACATCGGTTTGGCCGTTTTGGAGTAGTTAGGTGAAATGAAATGACGATATATTTTTTCTTCGCACTCACAACAAAATATCTCAGAAAATGTCAATGGAGCTCAAAATTCCAATTCTAAGAGATTCTCCATCGAATTTCAAATTTTCTCATACAAATATGAATAAATACATGGAAAACATGGTTTTTCATATTTTTTTGTCCTGCAAACTGTGACGAAAATACTTTTTTTTTTAAATTAATGAATGGACCTTTTTAGTATTAAATGTCCTACAAAAAGTTCCAATCAGTCGAATTTCTATCTTCAATATATTTGATTTTTTATATAGCTTTGAAGTTCAAATTTACGGTTTTTTGCATTTTTTAGCTAAACTGTAAGAGTTACAGAAAAATGTTAAATGGCAAATTTGTAGTCCGTTTAAAATCCTATAGTAAAAAAGTTTTTGTCAACTTTTTCATATCATCAATAACAACAAAGTTACAAGCTCACGAATATTTATTTTTGTATCGGACTACCGCTATAAATGTGGAAGTTTGTATCTTTGTATAGAGAGTGTACATAGAGTACTATCGCTCTGAAATGGCTGGACGGATTCGGATGATATTTTGTACACAGCTAGACTGTAACCTCGAGTAACGTAATAGACTCGAGTAGGCGTATATTGTTGGATGCCTAGTGACCCACCTGAGCGACGTAAGGGTATGTAGCAACTTTAATAACTTTTTTTACTGTTAATTTAACAAATAAAATAAAATCTTAATCTAAGCAAAATCGGAAATACCGCATTACGTAGATAACGAATGTGAAAACCAGAATTTTCAAAAGTTAAATAAAATATTTATTCTTTTTTCTTTCCAGTTTTTTTGGAATCAATTTAACAGTGTTAAAGCGTAAAGTATCACGCTTACTGGGGCGTTATACTGGTTCTCGATAGATAAGTCTCGTAGAATAGTTATCGGACCACAAGAGCAGTAAAAGCTAATTGGCGGGCTGGCACTTACGGACTTAACCTTAGATTAGAAAAGTTAGAAGTAGCATGCGTGTGAAATAAGAATTTCAGTAGGTCCTAGGTAATAGTTGCAAGCAATTTGATAACAATTGGAATACATTCGCTATTTTTCATCAATTAATCAAAATGTACAAAATCGTTATGTAACATAGTCTTTTAATATATTTTTATATTTTTTATCTATACTAATATTATAAAGAGGTAAAGTTTGTGAGATTGTGAGTTTGTGACGTTGTAGGGGGTAATCTCTGGATCTACTAAACCTATTAAGATTACATTTTGTAAGTATATAGTTTAAGACCCTGGAAAGGACATAGGATACTTGTTATTTCGGAAATCATCCTTTAAGGGGGCGAAAATGGGGATGGAAGTTTGTATAGGGAATCAAGTTAGGGACGAACCTGAGCGTAGTGAGGGTGAGTTGAAGTTGCTAATAAAATATCTGACTTCATCCACGTTAAGTAAAGTAACAAAAGGTAATTATATACAATATGCACATCAATCCTCGTAGTACCGATTATATCCATATCCAAGATTTGTACAAGTAAAATAAGAAGTCAGCCAATTTATATTAATATATATATATATATATATTTCATTAATAATATTAATATAATTTATATTACTATATATATATATTATATATATACACACATATATATATATATATATATATATATATATATATATATATATAAGGCTATGTTCACAAAGCTTCCTTATAAATGTTCCTTGTAAAATGAGTTAGATCGAATTAGGGACTAAACTATTAATAGATATGATATAGCTAGAAGTTAACACTTACTATTTCTATAATATTATTAAATACTTTAAGTCTTTATTAAATGAACTATAAATTTAAATCTTCGAGATATTTAAAAATATTTTACAAAAATTTTATGCCTGTTCTATATGTAATTAAATATAGCATTTCCACTAGGTTTCTAGTCTTTCTGACAGTAAATGCCGCGGTGAGATTGGGAAAATTATCCTCTTCCGAGCGACCCAATTGGTGGGCTATGATTAGTTTGTAATTTGCGACAAACCTTTGTGAATTGCGGTATGTATTCAGGCTACCGAAATTTTGATGTTCACAGTTCACCCAAGACTAGATTCAATTATTAAAAAAAGTACCCAAGAAAGATTTGTTAAATAGAAAAAATGTAAAGAAGACTGGGATCCGCTAATCAATATAATTTAACGTTGTTCGCAGGAATTGCGTAAAGTGAAAATCGGCGTCTTGCTTCTTCCCACCCTCTAATCACATAGAGTGAAATAAAAGAGGTTACATTCTCGTACAATTTCTTAATTAATAATAAATGAACTCATTTTCAGGCTTTCCTTCAAATAAAATACCGTCTCACCGCTTTTTATATCCACGCAGGCTTTACGGGAGTCGGACACGCCGCCGTGAGTATATATTATATAGTATAGTAGTTCTATGAAATTTATCTTTTACTGCTTAAAAATATAAATGAAATAATTTAAGAATCTGTTCACTAAAATTGCTCCTTTGTTTATATATGCTTTATTAAATGTTAAAAATGGCAAAATGGCTGGACGTAAAAAGATGAAAATAGCTCACTTCATAATTACATCATAACAGAGTTCGACAAAAATAATAATTGCAATGTATTGTGTACAGAATATAGACCCCCAA